GAAATAAGAAAACGGAAGGCTAATTGGATTGGTCATGTTTTATGCAGAAACTGCCTTCTAAAAGAAGTTATCGAAGGAAAGATAGATGGGTGGATAGAAGTGACAAGAAGACGAGGAAGAAGACGTAAGAAGATGCTGAATAAGATGCTGGATGACCTTGGGGGCAGAAGAGGATACTGTCATTTGAAGGAGAAAGCTCTAGATTGCATCAAGTGGAGGAATTGTTTTGGAAGAGACTGTGGACCTGTCGTCTTGACAGATTATTGATGATGATGATGATATATATATATATATATATATATATATACACACAACCGGTAAGCAGATACCAACATTTCAGAAGAACCTGGTGCCTTCCTCTACAAGATATAAAACCTTGCAGATGGAGGTAGCAGGTTATTCAAAGTCAGAACCTTTCTATCAGACTACATGGTGTCACATCCTATATAACAGTAATATTAACTTAACTGATGCAAGCTATATATCAGTTTAATTCATTTTATTCTTGCCAATAAGCTAAGACAATTTTCATCTCCAAATACCTTCAGATATTTTTTCTGACAGGCATAACAGTGAGAACATTCCTCCTTTCCCCATGCCTATTCACATACAAATGTGAACACTAATTCCCACAGCTCATTTTAATGTTGATACCTGTTTAACAGCAATGCATAAAGTATATATAATAGTAAATTATGATGCAAGGGAACAACAGCAAACTTACAAGTGTTATGTTTTTGGACATTATCCATCATCTTGTCTATTTTTTAAAAACCATCATCCTGTTTCTTTTCAAAACACAACGTTTCAGAGACTGGATTCTGTCCACATCTCCCTCTGGAGATAGGGGCTAGCTCTATCTACTGGATGCAACTGAGTAGGTTTTACCTGAGGATGGGAACAGAATCCAGTCTCCAAAATGCTGTGTTTTGAAAAAGAAACAGGACAGGTTTTAGAAAATAGACAAGACAGTAGATAACTGTCCAGAAACATAACACTTGTAGCAATATACAATCGTCACAAACTTTTAGATCTTAACAGCAAACTTACCTTGAAGAATGCTTGGCTCAGATCACCTCCCATCAGTTTGCTGTACATGCTCTTCTGAATGATGGGATTTCCTCCCTCCAGTAGTGCACTGCCCAATTCAACTGCCTCCACGAAGATTGAAGGAGAATGGACAGACTTGATGACAAGCTCTACAACCAAATCTGATGCACCTTCACGATCCAGATGACTCTGCACTTCGTGAAGTGTTCTACCTGCTCTGCTTAACAACTTTGCTGGAAAATTCAATCCAAAATATATACCTAAATATACCAAATTACAGAATGTTATCAGTGTACACACAAAAGAACTAGGGAAGTAATTTCATTTTAAAAATTTAAATATAAATTCTGCCACTTTCATAGCTTTACACATTAGGCAGTACACTTAGTAACAAAAATTCTTTGAATTAACAAAATTAACTGATATCTAAAATTCAATACCTATGGAATACAGTAGCTATTTTTACCTTCTGGAGATCTAACTAAATATTGCACAAATTTTGTGAATACTTTGCTATAGAGAGTTTGGCCGTTTCTGACTGTTCCCTTGATAACAACCTGTACATACATTCATGGGCTGTGTTGGGCTGCTATGACTTTGCAAGGACTGTACCATTAGGCTTATACTCCTATTTCTTTTTGTTTGTGCTAGAATCCTAGAATCATGTGATTGATGTGGAAATATAATGGTGATTAGTGGTGACAACACACACGAGCATCCATAAAAGGAGGAAGATTTAAACATACACACACAAAATAAACCACTGAACTGCAATGCACATCAATGGTTGCACCACCTACTGATAACTTGAGTACGGTAAAATTTAAATTTTACAGGAAAAGCTAGTCTGGGGCATCCATAGGTCTGAGAGCAACTCTATCTCAAAACCCAACAGAGCAGATTTCTATTCACCTGAAGACAGAAATAGAGCTAAATTCCAAAGCAGGGTGGTTAAAAGTTAGGACAATGGAAGATTCCAAAACAATAATCTCAATCAACATGTCACAACCATTGTCAAGAAACTTTGAACTCAAATGAGTGCATGATTTTCCAATGTTAACAAATAACTGATCATCTAACTTCAAGCCCCATCATTCTTCTGTGGAAACTAGGCAGATGGTAAGAACACAAGGCTCATAATGAAATGTGGCTTGAGCAGAAGAAGGTAAGATTTCTGCTGTACCACTATCCTAGCACATTACCCATACACTGTGAAGCAGGCCCTCAAATTACCTCCAGGTCCATGTGTTACGGGGGGATGTGGGCTTAGGATCCCCAGTTCCACTGTCTCTCTTTTGTGTACAAAGGACTTTCCAAAGTACCGCATCAGAAGGTTGTTCCGAAGGACATCACCCTGGATAAAGAATTCAGACAAGTATATTACACAATGAACCAACGAGTCCCACGTTAAATAAATAATAAAGATGGCTATGGAAATTAAATAAATATACAGTAACATGTGAAATAACCTGAAATGTATGCAAGGTGTTATGGATCACTATAATTTAGAATAAAAAATTAGACTGTTCTGTTACACCAGAATCAAAATCCAGTTACACTGTAGATGTGGTGAGTCACAACTAGCTTTCATTTCCTTACATCTGCACAGAACTGCTTCGAAGAAATTAACTAGTGTTAGCATAAAATCATTATTAATTCTTTCCTTGCCACTGCATCATGAAGTAAGTTGCTCTCATGCTCTTAAGCTGAGAAAAACCTAAACACACCAGAAAGAAAATCCTAATGCATTATGAATTTTCTAGGTGCAACATTGCTGATGGCTTACAAATGACTAATATCCTGAATGGGCAGCTCCATATTACATGGTATTCAGAGAGAAATGTTTATGGCAAAGTTCTGCTAAATATCTTGCATCCTACTGCCAAAAGCCCATCTCATCACTGAATTTGTATCAACTGCACAATTAAAATGAACAGTGGTTTAATGTCCAAAATATATAAAAAGTTTACAAATGTTCAGACAATTTGGTACTGAGTTCTCTTTATTCCATAACTAATGCCATGAAGCAGTGTCCTCCTAGAAAATTAACAATGACACATCTACTCAAGAAGTTCCCATGTTCACAAGAGTGACCCTCTAGCCCCTGCCCTGAGACAGGTGACTCTAGTCAAAATTGTTACTTTCCATTTCTTTAAGATGCATTTCTCTATTATTCTTCCACTTGTTTCCAGGCTACCCAAGTGGCCTCATCCCTTCAGGTTATCTACCTAAAACTGCATATGCATTACCCTTCAGTTATGAAATTGCCAAAAAATAATAATTTTATATTTGTTCTTAGCTACTTCCACATATCACTGAGTTACAATGGCTAAAGCACAATCACAACCAAGCTGGAATTCAAATTTTTGAACAGCGGCNGGGGGGGGGGGGGGGAATCACAGATAACAAACAATATCAAAAATAGCTTTAAATAAAATAAATATGTACAACCACTTGGCTATGTAAGAGGAACACTGGAAGACATCAGGAAGAGGAAAGACCTGGTAATAAACTCAAAAGGAAAGACTGCAAGAAGACAGAAATGACTGGAGACTTTTCATCCCTTATTCTATATAAAATGTAAACAACATGATGATGGTGAAGAAGAAGGGGGAATAGTAGTAGTAATAGATTTAAGACAGAAAAGTTATGGGGGCATATTGAAAAACATGTCTGGTTGTTTGCCACTCATTTTCTAATTCCTTGTTTATGACACGCATCTCCATAAACAACAGTGATTGCATTACACTGGGTTGACAATCACAGAAAATTAACTTGGTCACTTTTTAATGCATCTTCAACAGCAGTACAGATGAGCTTGTTCATGGCAAGTTAAACATCTTAAGAATCTATCCATGATAACAAAATGTCAATTTTACAATTCACCGACGCTTAGGTGGTACTGTGAATCTGTTACAGTAAACAGGATGCTTGAATTTTTCCAACAGATCCTTTTAATTAAGCATAAATTTAAATAGGACTACAATCTTCTGAAAGTGACACCATGTAGTATTTGTATTTATTGTAAGGTCAAGAGATCCAAAGATGGATATAGAACATGTCATAAAATAATACAGAGCATAGAATACACACATAAATATTACATAACTAGACAGTACAATGAATACAACAATAATAAAAATTATCTATTTAGATATTCATCCATAGTATAAAACATATGAGTGTTCAAGAAATGCCTAATACAACCTTAAACTTTTTAAAATTATTGATCTCTATGGCCAATTTATTAAATATTTTTATATCTGCATAATAAACCCCTTTTTGATAAATAGTTAAATTAGCCCGAGGTAGATACAAATCTTGTCTTTGTCTAGTATTAATAGTATAAGAATCAATGTTTCATGGAAAAATAACTTTATTTTGAAATACAAATACTAACAATGAAAATATATGTATAGTTGTGATGCAAATGATAAAATATTTATCTCTTTAAATATGTTTCTACATGAAACTCTATTGCCATATCCCAACATCCCTCGGATAGCCTTTTTTTTTTTGGAGAAGAAAAACAGTAGAACTGGGAGATGAGTTTCCCCAAAAGATGATACCGTAGCTCATTAAGGAGTGAAAAAAGGAATAACAGATTGCCTTTAAAGCTGAAATAGACATATAATATGTCATATCTTTAATTATGTAACAACCTTTACTTCATTTTTTTACAGGTAAATCAATTCTTCCATATTAAGGCACTATCAACTCCCAAGAATTTAGTACTGAGGGTACTGTTGATAAACTTATTATTATGATTTTTTGTAAAAGTATCTGACATTACTGTCTTAGTTTTGCGTTGAATACAATGTGTCTTGTTAAGGTTTAAAGATAATTTATTAGCTCTAAACCATCCGTTTAAGATTTCAATTGTCATATGAATATTCCTGCTAAGATCATTTGTATTACAATGTGAAAATGAGATGCTAGTATCATCAGCAAAAATTGTAGGCATAGAAAACATATTTAATATTTTAGGCAAGTCATTTATATATAAGAGAAACAACAAACGTCCTAATACAGACTCTTGCAGCACTCCCTGCCAATCTGAGGATACTGTATTCACATCGCTTTTATGTTACTGTTCTAATATATCTGTTACTTAAATAAGATTCATAAATTGCATGATCTTTCCCAATAATACCATAAAATTTAAGTTTGTAGAACAAGATATCATGATCTATGCAGTCAAAAGCTTTCTCCAGATCACAAAAAACACCTGCCACTAATTGTTTGTTGTTCATAGAATTTAAAATCTCTGTAGTCAAAATGTAAATTGCATTATCTGATTTTAATTCCTTCCTAAATTCATATTGATCAGTACTTAGGATATTATACTTATTAATATGTTCTAAAGTTCTTGTATATATTATAGTTTCAAATAAATTTGAGAAAGATGTTAAAAGTGATATAGGTCTAAAATTAGATACATCCCCTATATCACCTTTCTTATACAAAGGTTTTATTAGTAGATACTATAGGGTTCTGACAGCGGCCTCCGTAGTCTAGGGGTAACGTTCCCATCTCGTGACTCAAGGTATGTGGGTTCAAACCTGACGAAGGTCGTGGAATTTTTAAGGGCGGAAAAATTCAGGGAACAAGTCCTCCAGGAGGGACTTTAAGCCATGGGTCCCGTGTCGTAGCTTTACAGCACGTAAAAGAACCTCATGTCCCAAGGGGACCCCTGAGCCAAATTCAGGACATTTCCCACCCAACAGTGGTCTTTAACGCCTCTGGTACATGGGGGAAGCATTGAGATACCGCTGAGCCAGTAAAGGCCAAACTCGCTGGCTAAGTCGGGACCGATGGTACGCACCAGTACCGGTAGGGAATAGAGACTGGTAGAATATCATAAGGGGACACACAATGGACCAAAAGTTGGTCTAAGTGCATGGGGAAACCAACCCTCTCTAAATACAATACAATAGGGTTCTGATGATGGTGTATAACACACAAAGATACTGGGTTTTCAGACTTTGTCCATCATCTGGATTCTTAGTTATTTAGAATCCGGATGATGGACAAAGTCCAAAAACCCAGTATCTCTGAAAGGTTTTATTATCACACATTTCAGCCTATCAGGAAAAACTCCTCCCCCTTAATATTTTATTGCATATATAGTTTATCGGTGAAATTATAAATGGTGAACTTATTTTTAAAATAATGGGCAACATCTCATCATACCCACACGAGTTTTTTTTTTTTTAATTTAAGAGGTTTTATTATATTCTCTATTTTTTATTTGTAGAGCATTTATACTTTACATTTGGGTATGAATTTATAAAAGCTTGACCCATATAATACACGATTTTCTACACTTTTTGAGTCATTCATAGGTATGGAATTATTGTTGGTTTGTCTTTTTATTTTATCGGCAACGCTGGCAAAATATTTATTAAACTCTCCTACAATATCTTGCTGATTATTCAGTATTTTACCATCACTTTTTACTGTATTTATTTCAATCCTATTTGTATTCCTACCTACTTCTTTTTTATAACACTCCAAGTAGTTTTTATTTTATTGTGGGAGTGTAGGATACATTTAACATACTCCATTCTTTTTGCCTTTTTTATAACAGCATTCAGTATTTTAGAATTGTTTCTGTAATAAACTCTAAAATTAGGATTCTTATTATTCCTTAATTCATTGCAGATTTCTCACTTATATTTACAAGATTTCATTATTCCTGGTGTGATCCATGGATTATTTTTTCTAAATTAAAGGGAAACTGGAATAATAAGTTCTCAAAAATATATCTAAAAATAAATTGAAACTCTCGTTAACGTCATTTTCATCAAAGGCTGATTCCCATGTTTCCTGGCTTAAATGTAATTGAAAATTTGCTATGGTATCATTATTTATCATCCATTGCATGTAAGTATATTGCTGATGTCCCTGATTCTGTACTTTATGTAGTACAGGGTGGGGCGCAGAAACTTCCTTTTTTTGAAGGCGAATAAAAGAAAAATTATTGCTGATAGACAAAATTTATGTTTAGCTAATGAAAGAACATACTTTAAAGTAAGTTTTAAATCATGTAGTTTCAAACAAAATATCTTGAAGTTGGTGGCCACCGTTCTCTATGCACTGATGCAACCGTTTTCTGAAGTTCCCCTCTTCATGTTCCAACATGTGCACCGGAATTTGGGCTACTTCCTGCCAAATAACATTCTTCAGCTGAAGCAGGTTTGTGGGGCGATGTTTAAAAACCTCTGCCTTGAGGTATCCCCATAAAGAAAATCACAGGGCGTTAGATCAGGTGAGTGCGCTGCCCATGGGATGTCACCTCGAAGCGAGATGAGCCTTCCGGGAAACTCTGCCCTCAAAACTGTCATCGAAGCT